AGTGTAGCAGCCAAGGCGCTCCCGCGTGACATCGAACTCATCGGTCGCAAACCCAAACTCCATGAAGCCCATGACAGACACAATAGCGCGGAGGATAGGCTCGGGGACATTCTCGAGGCAGGCCGTGTCAATGACTTGAGAGAAATCTCTCAGCCAGTTCCCAAAGTAGATCTGCTTTCGTTCAAGTTGCGTGAATCCGTAGTGGGTGATAAAGCTGACTGGCAGATATTGCAGGACTTCGCCGATATCACCGTGCCGCCACAGATAGCCCTTGAACTCACTGCCGACGGGCACTTCGCCTGCGCCGAAGGCGGACGCGGGTGCGATGAGAATAAGCATACACAGAAGAAGGCATAGCGCTAACGGAGGACGCGAGAACATCGCAATCCTTCTTTACCCTTCTTGATGGCACACCAAGGTACCGAAAATTAGGTAGAAGACCGGATGTCGTATTTTCGTGATGTTTGTATTTAGTGGAGACGGTGCCAACGCTCCGGCTAGGCAATTACCTAACCTTAGGTACATGTACTGCCCTGTTACTAGCTACTGCATCACTAATGTATGACTAGGTTATGTAAATCAAATATCTAATGTGCTTACTACTAGGTACACTTCACAGCGCACAGGTTATTTACTTACATACATGAAGCACTTTGTTATACCACTTTAATCATTTTTTAATTTAATTCTATGAAGCTATATGAATTTATTAATGCCTTGCTAATAAGAACATGCATTGGCCCATGTTACAAATCATTAGGCCTTTTTCTTCTTACCAATTCAAGCACACGACATTTTAGGAGTGAGAAGGCGAGATAGCTAACGCAAGTATGCCTCGTTTGCTAGGAATTAAACAATAAATCTGTAATAATATAGTGGCACATACTATCTTGTTGATTGCTCTGCTACATGTTCTTTGAACTGTTCGACTATTTTCACACAGGTGATCGGAAAACTGCAGATCTCAAGCTTCTCGCTCAAGCTTCATTTGAGTTGACCTTGGATATCAGGTATTGACTCCTTCCCGCTGCATTTATCTCGACATGGATTTGCCCTAGACATTGCCACGGGTGTCATTATTATACCATTTTGGTAAACCAGGTAGGGATGGCAAGCTTCACTCTGTAGTTGTCCGCTATCAGTGAATCATTGAACCTTTCTTTCTATAATAGAATACTGAAACTTTATTCATTCAAAGAGATTATACCGTTAACATTTATATCGTATCCATTCCAAGCACTGATTAAGAATTCTAGTCGGCTATTCCAATCTCCTAAGCCCTCAAGTAGTATTCATTAGTTCGTGGGCTTTATATTCCTGAACCCGCTCCAGTGCCAAAATCTCTTAAGGAGATCCCTCCAGCTGGATGCATACTCGGGAGTTCCATGGCGACCGTTATGGCTTTGAGTAGCATAGATCGAACTAGTAGTAGGAAGCCTACGATAGGACGTAGTAGAGCTTGCAGGAGATTCCCCACGTGGTGGCGATGTGTATGTTGGTGCGTCCCACCTCTTCCGCACTGTTGTCATCTCCCTGCCTCCTTGGCGTAGCGCACCGCGGGTAGTGCTCGCACCGCTACTTGTGGATGTGACTACTGGAAAAGAGAAGTCTATTAATGATCAGCTTCACGTTAAAGCGCAATTCAATTTCCCCAAAAAAAGGAGCCTAACTCGGGAAATCGAGCTTACTTCCGTGCAAAAGGTTGTTGATATAGTTCATAGAAATCAACTTTGCAGGTACATTGTTTCTGCCATCTTTGATTAAGTACGGTTTCCCTGCTTGCCGTTCCTTCAGAGGATCTGTGATATCCTCCCAGAATTCCACAACACCGCCAAGCATAGTAGATTCCCAGTACCGACCAGACTCACCCGCCTTCGACTTTCCATATGCAGTTAAGCTAACGCGTGGTGGTGTGAGTGGACGTGCTGTTCCAGTCAAGTAGCCCGTGAGCAGGTGAACGATTTCGTGTGCAATGGTGATCCCCATCTGGTACTTGAAAAGTTTATAATTATCACGGGCTATGTCAGGGGGCTGCCCGTGAACATAGGCCATGTTATTTATAATCGATCTTTGGACATTTAAGTGGCCGGCTACTTTCGGATTATACTTGGCCATATCATCGCCCCAATTATACTTGACTGCAGAAGCCTCGCCGAGACACACGCGTAAGTAGACAGTCGGAAAGTTGGCCTTAAGACTCCGCAAAAATCGGTCAATCCACTGGGGCATCTCATCCAAGGGTCGGTTATACACATGGGGGATAGGCTTTCCTTTTGTCGGATTACTGCGTAGCTCGATGACCATCGCTGCTATATGCACTAGGCTATCTCTCCCTTGAGGACACTCAAGGATACTCAATCCGAGATGAATCACCGACTCCAGAATTCGGTAGCGGATAGAAGCCGGAGCAAGTAGCTCATGTTGGCCAGTCTCGTCTGTGTAAACTTCGAGCCCGTTGATCCTAGGCATCTCAAGAGTAAGTTGTGGAAATGGGGAATATACCGTAGATTCTATTAGGTCAAGGTTATGCATTTGGATATGAACTCGGGCTGACTTTTCTTCATGTAGTATAGTAGATAGTAGAGGTGTGAATAAAAGGTAAAAGATGCGTATTATTCACATTGGTGGGTGACTCAACACACCATAGTGAGTATATTTCATCCGCAGAGATATAGATGAGATATATCTCCCAAATAGTCATGGCAAATTTAGATTCAGTGGCCCAAGAGGTTAGCATTCAGGACTAGAGAATCCCATGTTAATTGAAGTTTCAGTATGAACCAACATCTTTAACAGAATGGATACACGACTGCTTGACAATATGGGCACATGGTCTGATTTATGCCCGTTTCTAGTTCTTTGATGCTGTCAAATATAGATCGCCGTATAGAGGTAGAGTGGGCGTTGTTGACGATGTTAATAGCATGAATACATACTACGGCATAGCTACATGTTACAATCACGTAATAACTAATAAGTAATACGGAGGACATAGAACATAGGATATAGGACACGGAGTTGAGAAGTTACGATTTTGTTTATTGAAGAAAAGAGAGAAACTACAAAAACATAAACTAGCCATACAGGCGCTACCAACAAAACCTATAGAGGTAAAGAGAACGTAGGCGAGGGGAAGAGTCCCTTACGCCACAGAAACCTACACTGAAATTTTGGAATCATATCAGAGCAAATCGGCAGCACTGGCAGGTAGCGGCCACTGATTAGAGAATGCTGAGTCTTTGAGACACGGAATGGCTTCACGAACTGTATATAGCTTCAGTTTTAGCTTGCCACGTCTTATACCCCCAGGGAGGTTGCCGGAGAGGGCGCACGCCACTCTAGCTCAGACGTTAAATAATACAACCACAACAACAACAACATCAGTCACTGGGGCAGACTGAAAAGGATCACCTCTTGGTGATCAGTAAATCAATGGCTAGCGAAGAAGGTATCAATACTACTACATTATTGGCTGTTACTTCACCTCACAAGACCCAGACTAAGTCTTGATATTCCATGCTATTAATACCTTGTTACTTATTCCATGGGATTTGGTAAACGCTGCGTTGTTTGTTAAGCGCTTTACAAGCAAAACCAACTCTTGTATTTACAATTATTAGGTATTGCAGTTTGCTTAGGAAGTACCTATTACGTATTACCGAAACTCTCAGGTCTGTGCACTCCTTATACAGATCGAATTCGACTTCCGGTTCTACCCCGCGACCAAGTCTCCTATGATCTTCCAATCTCAAGAACAGCCCAGTTCGTTTAATAAAGCATAATTCTATGGTAATTCGATACTGCAGTTAACACCATGAGTTCCCAAACCCCAGAATCTTGGAATTGAGTCCGAGGTCTTGGGTGTTGGCAAGACTGATGATGACGCTCAATCTAAGAACCTCTCCCTTGATGAACTCGACGTCCAACATCGTGAGTTGTTTGTTCGCGCTTTACTACGAGTCATAACTACCGACATCGCTGAACTTACATACGCACAAATCATCGACGGCCTTCCTTTGGCCGATACTGTGGACGATACCTGCGCTGGTGAATTACCGAGTGGGCATCCACTGTATGATATGCATAATGAGCTTTGCTACGGTATCATCGAAAGGACAAAAGAAACTCGCGAAAATTTCGATACTGGCGTCTTAAGATTTGATTCTCGAGTAAGTGAACCTTGCGCATCTCTGATTCTAGCAGTTAATGGTAGGTTTTGCAGCTTATATATGATTACCAAGCTGCATCCCCTGGCTCGAGGGCATTCAAAACTCGCATCATTGAGACGGTTGCGGTGGCAGTTCACCAGATCGCCGTGTTGCTATACCAACAGGACAACAGCCTTCATAAAGAGGATGGCATAACGGATTGGCTGTGGTAGACCACCCAAGCTGCCAAGGAGGACACAGTCTTTTGGACCCTCTACCCTGATGGACCTCTTCCTACTCTATTCAAACATGAATGGTACATCGATTATGAACAATATCCAGATGGCGTCGCCGATATGGTCGGATATTGGGCCGAATCGCGAATACTCGGAGGCGTCGTGCTCTTCGATCGGGGCACTTCTACTAGAGAGCCAAATCCCGACGTTGTGTACTTCCATTCCGATCGCTATGAGATCACATACCGAATCTACGCACTACTCGAGAATCAGAAACAGGAGCTTCTTGATCTCCTCGTATCTGAAAAGTCCGGCCCATGTCCTCTGCCCATCCTAGGCGATATGAACAATGAAAGCCGAGTTGACCCCGAGGAACCGATCGAAGAAACGGGTATATACCGCGATATTTGGGAACGCAAGCCGTTGCCGCCAGATGGTCCCGATCTCCGGCGACGCGACGTCTGGGACACATTAGACTATCCGACTGAAGCGGATTTCGAAGGGGCAAGGGGACGTGAAATAGAGCGGAGGGACGACTCCTGATAGCAATTATGTTATATAGCGATGACAGCACCGGAACAATATCAACCGACCGGCCTAAACAGCCGGATTGTTCGCTCGGTTAACTCAGCTGGTTAGAGTGTCGTACTAATATTTCCACCACGGAATGTCAAGTAATGCGAAAGTCATGAGTTCAATCCTCATACTGAGCAGCATACATTTTTAGTTTTTGTTTTCGCGCTTGATCTTCAAATTAGATCGCTTTGGAACACTCCGCCAATATTTCTCTCATATGCTGCGATTGAAGGCCTCAGCCGCTAGTTATTCTTTAGCAATTATTCCTGAGGGAAAATGAACTGTATCTCTATTGAAAACTTATCTCCCAATGGGAGCCTTTCGGCTGAAGTGATACATATATATTTTGCTTGTAGGTAAAGCTCAGCCTGTAAACTACGGGTCTCCGGTGTAGCTGTGAGCTTTTCGTACTTGAAGCGCCCATCACCTAGCGTAAAAAAAGTGTTCAAAATCAAGTGTACTTAAAGATTGAAATTTCCTTATGAAAATAATAGGTAAATTAATTAGAGACTTCTACTGCGCTGTTGAAAGGGGTATACACCACCGGCTATTCTCCGGTAGAATGGTGAGAGGCAAGCATCTCAGGGGTTGTTGGTATGGTTACATAATTGCTGGCTTGCAACACCAACATCTAACAGCAGCATTAACGCCAGCACCAACACATGGCTAAAGAACCGCCATTCACACGCATATGAATTGAATCCTCAGAATCGATTCACATGATTCAAGGTTAGAAGCTGGCGATAGCTCATTCGCAGTCCACTCTGAATCAACGCCGAAAAAGAGCAGCAAATGACACAGCCTATGATGTTCCGAATAAGTTTTATAGCCACATTGAAGTCAACTATTCGTGCACTTTTGGCATCAATCGCACTCTACACTCTCTTTCTCAGCTCCCTAACGATACCCTTGATCCAGAACCAAGTCATATATCTAAACCGCGTAACCTTGACATGGTTTCAAGACGTTAATGTGCCCGAGCAATAGGGATTCCTCCGGAACCAAGTATCCCCCTTCAAGCTCTCCACACCGGACGGAGAGACATTGCACGCGTGGCACATCCTACCTCTAGAACTCTATAGGCGGCACGAGCAGGAGCTGATAGAGGAGCCCACGGGCCTGGTCCCTGATATCACGGACCGCCTGGGTTTCAAGCTGCTGAGGGACGACCCGTCTTCCCTTCTGGTCCTCTATTTTCACGGCGCCGCAGGGACTCTGGGATCCGGCTGGCGGCCGCCCAGCTACCGAGCCATGTCCGCCGGCGCACCTCGCAGGACCCATGTCCTGGCCATAGACTACCGCGGTTTCGGAGCAAGCAGCGGGGTCCCCTCTGAAGAAGGCCTCCTGGTTGATTCGGTCGCTTTGGCTGAGTGGGCTATGCAGGAGGCCGGGATCCCGCCCTCGCGGATCGTCCTCTTCGCGCAGTCTCTCGGGACCGCCGTGAGCATAGCTCTAGCACAGCACATGGCGACGAGGGCTGATCCGGTGCTGTTCTCCGGCATGGTGCTGGTGGCGCCGTTCGCCGACGTCGAGCTGCTTACTGCTACGTATCGGGTCGCTGGGACGATTCCCATTCTCGACCTCATTGCCCGGTTTCCCCGGCTCTTGGCCTGGCTCAATACCTTTGTGCTTAGCAAGTGGCCCAGCAAAGATACACTGGCGGAGTTTGTACGCAGCTGTGAGAAGTTACCTGCAGCCGCGCCGAAGTACCACGTCACTATCATCCATGCCGAGGACGATTATGACATTCCGTGGTCCCATAGCGAGCAGCTCTTCTGGCACGCCGCTAATGCAACGCTGCCTGACGGCATCGGATTTGATGAGTTAGAGCGCGAGAAGGCGGCAGCGAGATCGCTGCGGCGGGAGCGCGGTTGGGTGGTCGAACGACGGACGAAGCAAGGGGTTATTAGGGAGGAGATCATGAAATACGGGCTCCACGATAGAATTATGTCATATCCGGTCGTCAGCTCTGCTGTGATGCGAGCGTTTGAAAATTCATTTAGACCGTATTTAGACGATACCCCTACCTAGACGATGCCTCTGGATCAAGATTACTAGCATGTTACTCATCTATGGTAGCGTAACAGGAAAATCCTGCTCATTTGTCAATGGCAACTCGAATTATATGATTCAAACGGGAGTTTGGATCTTCTAGTGTCTGACAATGTTGGTTATACAAGGTTGATTGCACGCTTGGGTGATGCAAGGTGTTGTTGAGCTTTACCTTACCGCAGCGAACACGACTTACATCTTCCGTAGCACAGGCGTAGCCTCGGAGACGTTGAACATGCGGCGTCCCTGGCCTTCATTACACCTGGGCCGTGAGCTAGATGCAGATGACCATAGGTTAAGCTTGGTGGCGTTGTACTGCATCTTGATCACTGCGTTTTTAGTTATTAAGCATCACGAGTTGAAACCAACTACCTGGTGTTGTGCTGCGGAGGGCTAGGTAAGGTAGAGGCATCGAAGAATCTTCCCAGATCGTATTCATTGTGCCGTTCGGGACGATAATCAGATAGGCGATATCACAGCCAATTCCGGAAGTGTCGCCGCTGTTTTATTACTTATCTGCATATGTCGTTTTCCGGTCGGCATCGGCGGCTGAACATCACAGAATACATGCTATGTACAATAAACAGCGGTTATAAACGAACGTCTAACCTAGGATGTCTACTGTATGTGTACTTATGTAGGGGATCTCCCCTTGGCTGATGGTTATTTGTAGAGGGTAGGGTGGGATGGTAAGGGTGGGATGGTAAGGGTGGGATGGTAAGGGTGGGGGAGTGTCAGCACAGGGGGTTAGACCCCACTATCAGCAGCTACATAGGACTCGTGGCCGTTATCGCTGATAAGCGCTGCTGTGTACTTTTCGTTCTAGCGTTGACAGTACCAATATGTTTTGTTTATACGGTGCTATATCGCGAACTACTTGTATTCCGTACAGTTCCGTACAGAATACCTATACCGGTACTTCTGTAATTGTTATATGAACAAATCTGCTACGTATGGTGAACTGCAAATCTATTCGTTGTATGAACTCTTGCATGCGCTAGCTTTGAATGCCATCAAGGACAGTGTTCTCAATATACAACTTGTATAGTACGGTAGCCTCTTGCACGAGTCAGACTCGAGCATAAAACGTCCTCTGCATCCTTCGGCCTACTCTAATTCGAGACCTTGTCTTGACTTTAAATCGATTTATCATATCAGGAAACAGGCTCGAGAAGCATCGACTTTGGTAGTGAAGGGTTGCGGTGTGGTGATGATGCTAGCCGACTCTTGAGCCTTCAAGAACAAGCCTGCCGTTGAGAATGCACCAAAGTGACCATCTACTATCTCGACAACACCCGGTACACTGTTAGAATATAGCTCTATCTCTTTATTCGGGTCAACACCAATAGCTGTTACTGGCCCCAACATCTGACTCGCTTCGACGTCTTTGGATGTCCAATGCGGTTCAATGCAGAATATCACATACGAACCGGGAGTTATTAAACTCTCAGATATCTCACTGTTGTCAGGCTCATTGAATGATCTAATGAACATATCAAGGCTCTCTTCGTCCGGATACTTGTAGATAGTCTCAGGGTCTAGAGAGAGCAACCCCTGCTTCGCGCCCCAGCCTCCTCCCCCACTGACTAAAGAACTGTTAGCTTAACCAAACCATCGACACACAAAGGTCACCTACGGATCTTATGTAATCGGCATCCGGAAGATAGCAGCCTAGAAAATGCATCCATTGCCGAGAGGGCCAATTCTGCTTCGGATGTGGACGATCCGTCTTGGAAGACTTTGAGGTCACGAAGGCCTTGTGCCTCTACAACATGAGGTGGTACAACCCAACACCATACTCCGATAGGTCCAGGTGAAGATTCCCCGTGTTGGTTTGATCTTGCATCGAGAACTTCAGGTATCAGAATCTCTAACTCTTTTGATGCCGGCGTTGGAGAACCGTCGACCTCGACCTGTCGAACAATGTTACCTAGACCAGCAACAACCTTTCGAGGGGGCGTCAATGGCAGCAACGGAAGAAGTGAGCTTGTATGGTGCGATGAGGCACGGCCGGGCAATATTGTCTGCGAATGCTTTTCATCCATCTTCGTAAGTGTGAGGGATCTATCAGCGCCCCGCTGCCATCTGCTCGCAAACAACGTAGAAGTCCTGCCATTATGAAAGATTGTATTTGCTAGCGGCAATGTGATCTCCAGTGGCCTAGTGTCCCCGCTTAGAGGGCCTGATAGAAAGGAGATGGAAGACGCTCTATCTTGGTCGACATTTGATCCAAAGGTGTCGCGATTCCACAGTTCTGGCAGGATTCTTGCCGCTGAGCCATAAAGAATTGAGAAGCCCGTCTGAGGCTCACCAAGGAGACGCTTTGGGGCAATACTATTCGTTACCGCGGTCAGTACGTCTATGTCCTGAGGTTGGGACTGGCCGTTGGCGGTTGATTTGAAGAGAGTTTTGAGCAAGCTCGACATGAAGGCATCATCATCCAGCCATGTTGTAAACTGCTGAGAGGCCACTATGGCGGCGCCATGATTTGCACCCTTCACTTCTTCCAAACGGAGATTTTTGGATGCAGTTCCAAGGTGCTGGTCTAGTCTCTCTGTGACGCTTTCCTACAATTATCAATATATGAGTACTCAAGGACTGCTCGATTAGACTCACTTTTGTTGTCTCAGGTGCCAGGATGAGGCTGAGCTTCTCAGAAACATGAGATTGACTTGCAAAGCGTCTCTTGTAGAGCCCCTGGAAGTTGGCCAGAAGACCACGGTTGACTATACGAGATCTCATAACATTTCCTGTGGTTTTGACCATACACAGGTTATGAGTGCTCTTGAATTACAGGTGAGGTAGAACCAAGCCACACAGAACCTCGCCTAGATACATGTAGGTATGCGTAGGTATTCATCAAGAGAGTTGTGGCTCAAGCCCCACAGATGCTCAAGTAAGGACATCTGATGGGATATGTACGAAGCACAGGGACCCAATCACGTGATATTCCTGAATCTTCCACCTCGAATGACGCAATATCTTGCCGATGTTTCTACGAGCCGGTCGATAAGGGAAAGGTAATCAACTGCCCCTCCATTGGACCCTGGCCTCACGTCCATTTTACCTAACTGACCTACGGAAT